TCTTTTCAGCCACGAGGCACATTTCTCAATCAATAAAAATAGCGAATTGTTGGAGGTGTGATTAAACTTGACTTCTTTGAAAACGACAACGAAGAGGCTGTAAGGTCGGAGCGTTATGGTCCTATAAACGACTTTTGATGGCAAATATGTGGTTTCAACAAGACAGTGCCATATGCTGTACAACACAGGCGAATATGGCTTTATTGCGAGAGAAACTCTCCGTCTTGCCGATATCAAATGTCCACCGATATTGTGTGAGTTAAAACTGTTGGATTTTTGCTTTGTAAGTCTTATCGAAATAGCATGTTTATGTCCCCTAACTTTTGAGCACTTGAAAGCCAACCTCCGTTAAGTTATTGCTGAGATACCGCCCAATTTGTGGTAAAAGGTGGACACAAAGAGAGTCGATTGAATGATGTAGTTTTTACGTATGATGCCAAGGTTTAAGCTTTAAATTAAAATGGAATTTCATAAAAAAAAATAATTTTAAATTTATTTTCTTTACGATTATTTTCGAAATCACAAAATGGATAACCCTTTATATTTAGCAGCACTTAAAAGTCTAACTTATTACTTTAAATTACTATAGTCTCTACAGTCTCGGAGGTAAAAGTTTGTATGAAGGCTGAATTTATATAGCAGTATACATGCACACATATATATATACATATGCATACTCGTATTTATTATATAATTGGGGCTTTGTAACCGCTGAAGCAATTTTTGGCCGAGCTTCTCCAACAATTTGAGGTTTTGTGTCTTGATGTGTTTTTCAACAAATGAAGGGACCTAAAGTTTATACTAAGCCACCTCCGATGAGGATTTCTTATGAGACGCATTTACTTTATTTCAGAAATACACTGAGTTGGGTTGGCATTCCCTGTCGAGGCGAGACCGGAATTAGAAAATTTAAATTAATTTTTTATTTAAATTAATTTTCTATAACTTTTTGAATGCTAGTACGACACCAGGATTTGAACACAATCCTTCTGAATGGCAGTACGCAATGCTAACCATTCGCCTACCGCGCTCAACATATACTCCTCTACATACAATATATAAATCGAAGCAATGAGACACACATACATGTACATATACTTTTATTTCTTGACAAACAAAAAAGCTTTTTTAGCCCAAAAAGGCTTCAAAGTGAGCGCAAAAGTTTGAAAATAAAACCTTTTCAAAATGCTTTTCTTTATTTTGCGGTATCTTTTGCTTTTTGGCATACTTATTTATTTATTTTTGACAGAAAATGCTTCAAATTTCAAGGTTATGAAATTATAAAAGGATTTTGTTTATACCAATTTTATTTCACTGCCTTTGTAGTATTGTTATAATAATATTGATTGGCGCATTGTTACCGCTGAAGCGATTTTTCCGCCGAGCTCCTCTTCCAATTTAGGGTTTTGCATCTTGATGTTTTTTCCCAACAAATGGAGGGACCTACGGTTTATACTAAGCCGCCTCCGAAAAGCTAATGGATTAGGTGGACACTCAATGAGATGCACATTTCCATCCGAAGGGCCACCGCAATTAGAAAATTTAACTTAATTTTTTATTTAAATTAATTTTTTTTTATAAGTTTTTGGATGTTGGTCGAACACGGATTTGAACCCGAGCCTTCCGAATGCCAATACGCTAAGCTAACCTCTCGGCTTATGCCTTTTGGTAAAAGCTAATATAGGAGCGATTGAAAGGCATATATGAACATACTCGAATGTACTTAGCTGTTACATATAAAATTTGTATATATTTTTGTTTCTATTTTTGTGGAAAAAAGTAATATATATGTAGATAGCAAATAGAAGTGAACAATTATTTTAAATTCAAAGCCAAAATATTTTTTGAATGAAAAAAACTTGTATAAGAATAAAATTGCTCTATAATGTAATTATGTAGTAAATAAATAAAATTATTTTTTAAATAAATTAAATTATTTAGTAAATAAAGAAAACAAATTTAAAATTTTTTTTATTTTATTTTTGAAAAAATTTGCTGAACTGTTTTTCTTTACACTAACATTGTGCTCTTCCCATTTTACAATTTGCTTAGAAGTTACCCAAAGGGTCTGCTATTCGATGACAACTACAAATAATTACATATGTACACTACGTACGTATAATGATAGAATGTGTGAAAATAACCGCTAAATACACGTACGAGTACATGCATAAATTATCTGACATGAGCAGTCAATTGAAATCTCTTGACGTAAATGTGAAATATCAAGTTTCGAGAATCAATCATCTACCAAAAATAGATTGTAAGTGTTAATATTATTTAAGCCCAAATTAATTTTTACCTCACACAGTAAATGCTGTTTTTATAAGTGGTTCAATTAATAGAAGAAAAAATTCACTAAATTTGAGTACTCGAAGTTCCGCTAATTATTCACGTATTTACTCAAAGATTGCTATGTGTACTTTGTGGTGGTATGAGTTTTATTTTTGTTTATTTAATTAGTAATAATTTGTTTATACACCATTGGAAGCTCGTATCATAACATTAGCAAATTTTTCACAGAAAATATTTTACGCATACGCTTGAGTGCTTTAGCTTCTTAATATTTGGCAAAAAATTTAATTTGATTTTTTATGCGAATACGCGGAAAGTATTTAAGCGAGCGGTGAATTTGTTGGTGCTTAAAGTTGTCTAAATGTTTTTATATTGATAGCAGTTCGTTGGTTTTACGCTCTTGTGTTTAATAATCCACTCTAAGTTACCATAAATTTCACAGGAATTGGTTAGTCTAATTGAATAGTAATAAACTAAAAAAGAACAATAAATAAATGAAAAAACAAATCCCAACTAATGAATAACATTTGATTAAATAATATAATAAAATGAAATGCAATTAAATAAAATAATATAAAATCAAAATATATAAAATTATATTAAAGTAAATAAAATAAAATAAATTAAAAAAACTACAACAAAATAAAATAATCTAAAATAAGAAAAAATAAAAAATAAAACAAAATTAAATATGTAAAGTAAAATTAAAAATAAAATTAAGATAAATATAAAAAATTCGAGCTAGAAATATGTTGTGAAATAAATAAAATAATAAAATAAAGAAAAGTAAATTATAATAAATTAAAATAAAATAATATAAGCTTAAATAAAATAAAAAAATAAGAAAATAGATGAAATAAAATAAAATAACAACAAAATAAAAAAAAAAAAACAAATTAAAAGACTAAAAAATAAAAAAATAAAATAAAATTAAATAAATCTAAATAAAATAATATTATGTAAAAATGAAACAAAATTAAATAAAATAAAATAAATTAAAATAAATATATAAGACAGAATAACATAAAAAAATAATGTAATAAAATTATACTAAATAAAAAATAACACAAATTTAATAAAAAAAAATTAAACAATTAGTACAATATAAAATAAAGTAAAATAAAATAAACAAAATAAAATCAAGTAAAATAAAATAATGTAAAATAAAATAAAAAATTAAATAAAAGTAAAAAATAGAACAAATTCGAGTTAAAAATATATTATGAATTAAATGAAATAATAAAATAAAACAAACTACAATAAAATAAATTAAACTTAAATAAAAGAAAATAAAACGAAATAAAATAAAATGAAATAAAAAACATGGAATAATGTAAAATAAGAAAATAAAATAGAATAAATTAAGAAAAAAAGACTAAATATAATAAAATAAATATAATACAATAAATTAAAATAAAATAATGTAAAATAAAAAAAAATAAATTAAGTAGAAAAAATTCGAGTTAAAAATATTTTATGTAATAAATAAAATAAACAAATAAAAATAATATAAATTAAAACATAAATAATATCTAAAACAAGGTTTAATAAAATAAAATATTAAACTATTAAATAAACTAATAGCAAAAAAAAAATTAAATAAATAATAACAAAATAACGCAAAATAAAATAAAATGAAATAAAAATGAAAGAAAATTAAATAACACAAATCCGAGTTAAAAATATGTTATGTTATAAATAAAATAAAAAAGAAAAGGTAAAAATTAAATAAAACAATATTAAATAAAAATAAAATGAAATAAAAAAAAAATTAACAAAATCAAGTAAATAAATGAAATAAATATTAATATAACATTAAATTAAAATATGTCATGTAATAAATAAAAAAAAATTAAATAAAGTCAAGTAACATAAAATGAAATAAAATAATATAAAATGAAAATAAAATAATCTTATGTATAATTAAGTAATAAAATAAAAATGTATAATTAAAAAAAAAAAAATATATATATATTTAATCAATAAACTTATTAGTTTTAAAAACGCAAAATATGACAAGTTTATATACATTTACATAAATGGCGCTTTACAACCGCTGAAGCGATTTTCGGCCGAGTTCCTTTTCCAATTTGTGGTTTATACAAAACAACTTCCGAATGGCTGATGGTATTTTATGTGTTATGACATGAAATAAATGTCAGGGAAACACTCAAAGGGGTTGACGTTCCTTGCCGAGGGGTAACATTTTGTTCTTTTATTTTTTGAAAGCCGGTCGAACCAAAACTCGAATCCTGGTCATCCGAATGTTAGCACGCAATGCTAACCAGAAAGGATTTGATTTATCATTATTCTATTTTTTTGACGTGGCAATCCTAATCAACGGAATTGCTGTGAAGAAATGTGAGGATCAACAGTTGAACAATTTTTTACTTCGGCTTTCATCAACATCAAGTACAATACCAATACACACGCTTCTTCTTGATAGACAATAATTCGAAGTAAAAGGAACAGCGTCGAAAAAGTAAGAGTAGATTTATCGAAAAAAATGAGCCAAAAATACGTCTGAAAATGAAACAGACTGAGAAAATATCGAGCGCAGCTCATATCTTAAACTAATAAAGAGAATATATCTTAACTCAGCATTTTCTTTATAACATATCTAGAAAACAAATTGTTTTACAAAAATATTGTAACTATAACACCCAGAATTCTGATATTTATTTTTTTATTTATTTAACGCCTACCTCACCGCTGCCATCCTCGCCACTCTCCATTTGTGGCGAACGTACCAGCAACTTCAGTTTCGGACAATCCGGCTGACGACGCGTATAGAGGCAGGTAGATAAAGTGACGGTTTCCCCACCAGGATAGTCGATGAATTTACGGCGCAAAACTACTTCGACATCGTCATCATCGGAATCACATGTCGATTCGTACACACCTGCTCCACTTATGTGCAACTGCTGCGCTGACGCACTGACCGCATTGGCCTGCATAGCAATGCGGTTTTCCAAAGCCAAACGCATTGGGTTCATAGTTCTTGAACCAGAGGATGAGCGACGCAGTAGACCTGATTGAAACTGTTTTTCCTTTTCTTTTTCCTGCTGATATTGTGGCTGTTCGAAACGGCGCATCAGTTCAATCTTCTCCTCCACTGTCATATTGTTAATACGTAAAGTATTCGCATCCAAATTGCGTATCATCTCGGCAATATCTGATGCCAACGGCCGTGCGGTGGTCAGAGACTTTCGGCCCGATGTGAATGTGATATTGTGTGGTAGTGGTGTCATTATGTCTGTGCTCTCCGCTGCTATGTGTGCATCATATTCGATTTCCTCGGGTGTTTTGGGAGTTAATGCGCGTGCGGACAGCAGCAGTTCAAAGTCGTTGATGTCACTTTTGTTTTGAGTTGCTGTTGTCTTTGTTGTAGTTAAATCCGTTTGTGAGTCGGTTGTCTGTACGCGTCTTGAATGTCTTTCGCTTGTTTTGCGATTAAGTACTTGCTCAAAATTGAATGCTTCCGTTTCGGGGAATGGTGTGCCAATTAAATTTGGCTTTTCATCTTCAACAAAGGACTTGTATTCCGAAATATAGCTGCGTTCATCGTGCGCTGCAGTTTTTGTAGGCTTTTTAGTGCTTCCAGTGCCCTCGGCGTCCACACTGAACACCGTCCCATCTGCTCTGTTTGACAAATAACGATGTGTGTCATTATCGTCGGCAACGGTGGCTTCAGTGACTGTTGTTTTATCGCGGGAGTCATTTTTATTACACGCATTTCCACCTTCCGGCTTGTCTAACAGCGGCGCTTGGGAGTTTTCCACTTCCTTGCTGGCCATTTTTACAACATTTTCAGTTGTTTTCTTTATGTTTTTGTTGACTGTGTGGAAAGCTTTTAGCTCATCTTCATCGAACCCCAGCTGCTGTGTCTCCATAACCGCCAGCGGCGCTTTTACTTCATTCGTATTTTTCGTCTCCTTCCACTCATACTTATTCGCATCTACTTGTTTTGTTTCCTTTTCACTTTCAACGTCGTTCTTTTCCTTTTTCTTCTTCTTGCTACTACCCAAAAATAATCGAAAAATGCCGCTACTTCGGCCACTACTCCTCATGCTGCTACGTGCACTGTTTCTGGTCGTCTCACCCCCACCAATGCCACCACAGTCGTAACTGTTTCTCAAGGCAACAACATCACCCATATCGCTACTACTCAACATGTCCGAGTTGCCAATGCGTTGTGTGTGCTGCTTGTCTGTCGTTTGCCCCCCCAGACTTGGCGAAGTTGCGCTGCGCATGAAATATTTCGATTTATTTTTCTTTTTCATCTTCTTCTCGTCCACTTCCCCCGCCCGTTGCGTTCGGAATCGTCCAGCTTTTGTCGTTTCATTGACGTTACTATCGACGCGTTGCGGTTTCGAAATCGCAATCGTACTCAAAGTGTTTGTTGTGGTTTTTGGTGTGCGAGCTTTGTTGAGCGCCTTATCGTTGCTATCATGGTTCTTATCATTGCACTCCTTAAGTTTATCATTAGCTAGGTTACTAGCAGCGTGCTGTGCTTTGACTGCTGTCGCTTGAGTTTTGCTGGTTTTGTCGCTGTTTATATAGTCCCCCTCGCCTGCCCCACGTCTGAGGGCGCTTTCAGTGTCCGCATATGCGTCGCTATGACGCACATTTTCCTCTGTTGCTGAGGCATTATTTAAGTGCTCACCCTCAGACGACTCGATTGTGGGCTTATGGCGAAACGCATTCGTGATTTTCACAAAACATTTACGCATTTTCATATGAAAGTTGATTTACGAGGAACTCTTTTAATTAATTTAGTTTGGATAATTTTGCCTAATTTTAGTAGTTTTAAAATTCACTTGTACTGTTGCATTAATTACATAAATTGTTTTTGTAAGTTTGGTTAGATTGCACATTCTCGTTTGAAATTCGAAACATTTTGAGTTTTGTTAAACTGTGGAAAAATTATATTTGCAATCATGTTATTGTTTGTTTTAATTATAAAATTAATTCACTAAAATTTTAATACATTTGAAATACATTGAAATTATTTTCACTCTGCCCTACCACTTGGATTCTTTTTATTCATTTTTGTTCATATATTTTGGTATTTCGCGCGTCTTTTTCTGCGTAGGAAATAAACATTTTAATTTACTTTCAAATAAATTTTATTATTTTTCAAATTGTTTTATTTCATTTTAATTTTAATCTTTTTATATCTCATTTCATTAACCTTTTTTTATTCCAATTTATTTTAATCTATTCTTTGTTTGATTTTATTTTACCTTATTATTTTATTTATATTTTATTTATTTTTTATTTTATTTTTATTTTATATTATTTTATTTAATTTAGTTTTTTTATTTGACTTTATTTTACTTTATATTATTTTATTTTATTTTTTTCTATTTATTTTAGTTTATATAGTTCATTGATTTTAACTTAATTTTATTTGATTTTACTTTATTTTATTTTAATTTATGTGATTTTATTCTATTGGATTTTATCTCATTTTTTTGTATTTTCTGTTTTTATTATTTTATTTTATCTGCATTTAATTTATTTTAAATTAGTTTAATTTAACTGAATTCAAATTTATTTTATGCTATTTTATCTTATATTGTACTAATTGTTTATTTTTTTTTAATAAATTTGTGTTATTTTTTATTTAGCTTAATTTTATTATATTATTTTTTTATGTTATTCTGTCTTATATATTTATTTTAATTTATTTTATTTCATTTAATTTTCCTCAATTTTTTCTCATTTAATTCAAGCTTATTTTATTTAAATGTGTTTTATTTTATTTTATTTTGTTTCATTTTTTTATTTTATTTAAATTTATATTATTTTATTTTTTTATTTTATTTTTTTATTTTATTTTATTTTATTTTATTTTATTTTATTTTATTTTATTTTATTTTATTTTATTTTATTTTATTTTATTTTATTTTTTTCTCTTCGCTGCTCACCTTTGTTCTTTTGTTTTTGCACAGAGAAAATATGGGTGCATTTTTCTATTAAGTCTTCTTAAATATATAATATAATATAAAAATACATGAGGCCTGTGAACACTATTTAGAACAAGCCTTCAATAGGAATTTAAAGAGCAATGATAATATAGCGAAGGTATGAAAAATTAAATGAATAAGCAGCAAATATCGCACTCATTTATTGTCTTAAATGTGTTCAACAAATCTTATCGCATCAAATTTCGAAAAAAACATTTTTCTTAGTTTTAAATTTGATAAATTTTGAAACTTTCGTTTTTATTTATTTTTATTCATTCTCTTCTCCTTATTTTTCTAATTAAAAAAAAAAAAACGAATTAATAAAAATGTACAAATTGCGAAGCTATGATCAATCAAACTGATTAAATATGACACCCATAATGAGCGCACAAACAATTTTCAACACACACTTGCACCTTTCTTTGTGTGTGTTTACCTCATCCATACGTATCACGTAATTAAAAATGTTTCATTGCTGGTTTTTGTAAATAAAAAACATAAAGAAATATGTTTATTGGCTAATTGTCGGGAGATTTGCAATTTTTCAATCTTACGTCATACGTTTTTTTTGGTAGCCATTTGTATTCGCAAATATGTATGTCTCTATGCGGCAAAAAAATGGGTTCTCAAGTGATTTGAGGTAAGTGAAGTGATAAGAATTTCAATGTGTTCTACGGTGAGTAATGTACGTGTAGATGGCCTAAAAGCTGGCATATAATTCGACTGTGCCAATTTTAAGATTATTTGTGGATTATTTATGTGAAAAAAAAAGCAACAACTCACAACTAAATGAATAACAAGAGCTAACAAATAATCCGATTTTCGCCTATTTTTTTAACTTTCTGCACTGAGTTTTTTTTCTGAAATACCCTTAAGTTGGTCTAGTGTTTTCGACAATAGAAAATCAATGTTTTATTTTTCAAACCGTCAAAATTAATAATTTATTGCTCATTAGTAAGTATAAATTATGCATATATGTTGAGTCATTTAATAAATTATAACATAAATTTTAGTTGAAACAGCAACACTTTCAGCTGTTATTGCGGCGAATCTTTACGAAATGCGATAAAAATTTGATTACAACGTCTGGGCATTTTCGGCTTAAAAAAATAAAAAATAAAAATACTAACTAAAATTCAAATATAAAACAACTAACGTAAGAGTACTAAAAACCTTAGATATGGAAACTTGAGAAAATTTTCTACTCAAAGATGATTCGGTGCGTTGGGTTTTTTTGGAGTAAATAAATTCATCTCGGAATTTAGTTCCTTCGTAAAAAATCACTTAAAATTCAAGGCAAATCTCATGCTCACATGTTCAGTTAAATTTCCACGAATTATTCTTAAAAAATCACTTTTCATCACGAAATTTCTGATGAATTATACCTAAACATATAGTATTTACTTTCACTATTTTCACAAAAAATTATAAACAGAACAATTTAATCCCCAGCACAACTAAGCAGCTTAGACACATTTACACTTTATCACGCGAAAGAGTATTTATTTTACGCATACCTTTGTTGTTTAAACATTGCTATACGTCACTAAAAATTTACGGTTTACAAATAAGCACAGCGTGGGTAAAAATCAAGAAAAAATTTAGAACGAATAAAAAATCAATTGAACTAAATAATTTGATTATTTTTCTTTTTTTTTTATTTATTTGGTGGCAACACACTGAGGGTGTTTTTCTTTGTGGTGATTATAAGGCGGATTAAAATTTAAATTTTGTACTTGAAAATGCTTTTGGCAAACGAGAGAAAACAATAAAAAGAGATAGACACATAAAACTCAATAACTATTAATTTTTGTTAAGCGATCAGTACAAGTAATTTAGATGTTTTTATTATTTAATTAGGCTTAACTTAAAATTAAATAAAAAAAAAGTTACAGCAAAATAAAACTCAAAAAAAGTAAATTAAAACCAAATAAAAAAAACCAAATTATATAAAAAATTTAAATAAAATAAAAATTATACAATAAAGGAGAACAAAATTAAAATTAAATATATAAATATGAAAATAGAATAAAATAAATTATTTAAATAAAACAATACAGAAAATAAGTAAAATTAAATGGAACATAAAAAAACAAACTAAATTAACATAAAAAAAGAAATAAAAATGAAATATTCTTTCAAAAAAAAAAAAGAAACAAAAAAATTGTATTATGTAAAACAAAACGAAACAAAGTAAAAAACAAGCAAAAAAACTAATAAAAAAAATTAATTAAAGAAAAAATAAATAAGTTGGAAAAAAATAAAAAAACTGAGTAAAATAATAAATAAAATAAAATAAAATAAAATAAAATAAAATAAAATAAAATAAAATAAAATAAAATAAAATAAAATAAAATAAAATAAAATAAAATAAAACAGATTAAAATAAAAGGAGATAAATTAAAAATAAAATAAAATGAAGAAGAAAGATAAAATATAAAATAAAATAAAGTAAATAATTAAAATTAAAAAAAGTGAATAAGATATGAAAAGTAAAAAAAAAAAATAAAACGAAAATAATAAGACAAAAAATAAAAATGGATTTATTTATGGATTAAAAAAAAACAATTAAGAAAATAATATGAAATAGAAAAATTAATAAATTCCAAAAAAATTTAATAAAATAAAATAACATAACAGAAGAAAAATAAGATATAAAATATATGGTAAAAATTTTAATAAAACAAAATTATAAAATAAAATAAAATAAAATAAAATAAAATAAAATAAAATAAAATAAAATAAAATAAAATAAAATAAAATAAAATAAAATAAAATAAATGAAATAAAATAAAAGAAAAAATAAAACAGATTAAAATAAAAGGAGATAAATTAAAAATAAAATAAAATGAAGAAGAAAGATAAAATATAAAATAAAATAAAGTAAATAATTAAAATTAAAAAAAGTGAATAAGATATGAAAAGTAAAAAAAAAAAATAAAACGAAAATAATAAGACAAAAAATAAAAATGGATTTATTTATGGATTAAAAAAAAACAATTAAGAAAATAATATGAAATAGAAAAATTAATAAATTCCAAAAAAATTTAATAAAATAAAATAACATAACAGAAGAAAAATAAGATATAAAATATATGGTAAAAATTTTAATAAAACAAAATTATTTAAGAAATAATAAAAAAAAGATAGAATAAAGTAAAATAAAATGAAATAATAACGGTGAAATAAAAGAATATAAAATAAAATAAAATAATATGCCTTTAAATAAGAGAAAAACTAAAATAAAAGGAAAGAGTATAAATATATAATAAATTCAATAACAATTTAATTTAGAATCCACTTTATCAAAAGAAAACAAAATATTTATGTTTAAGCAAAAAACAAAAAAAAATGTGACACTTTTTCGCATGCTGAAATCGATTGAAATAAAATCACGTATCTACTGCCTGCACTTAATAAGAGAAAAGACGAAGAAAAATGTAATAAAAAAACAAATATTAGCAGTTCACATTTAGCACAATGTAGCGTGGCATTGTGTTTTTCACGCTTATCACATTGTAATACTGTATATTTGCTTTTGGTTGACAGCAACATCATTTATATGTAACACTTTGCAACGCTTTCACTTTTCCTAAAAATTTACGAAATTCGCACAATAAAAAATGAACAAAGGTGAGAGGCTGATATTTCGATTTGTTTTAATTTTTTTAAATTATTATTTTTGTATCAATTTATTAGTTTATTTTTATAAATAATACTTTTAAATTAATTTTGTTAATATTATATTTTATTTATTTGTAATTAATGTATCGCAAGATTTTAATTTTTTTCTTTTCTTTCCCACTTTTCACTGCATAGGCCAATTACAGGCGTGTCAGTAATGAGATCATTTCAAGTACACACAACTTTGTGTGAATTATTTTTTAACCTTTTAATACAAAACACTGTATGATTTAGCTTTTAACACTCATTAGTTGCTATTTTTATAATTATATACACATGCATGTTAATATGTATATATATATGAAAAAAAAAAAATTGATTGCGCATTAGTTACAATTTTTAACAACACTAATCACTTCGCTGATTCTTATCACTCTATTCGACAACAATTAGTAATAAGTTTCGAATTGTTTCAAATGCACACTTATATATCTATTAATATATAATTAGCCAGTGCCACTTAAAGGCATTTTCAATTTGTTTGCACTTTTCACTTTGTAGCCATCGTCTCTGCTATCATCAGCACGACCAACATTTCTTGACTGAAATTTCAACTTTTCAGCCGCCAGAAACCGGCGGTGAGTTGTTGTAGAGCGGTTCGTTGCCGCTCTATATGTTATGCCAATTGATTTAAGCGACTTTGCATTGTACAATAGGTTGATGTATATGTGGGTATGTGTGTTTATTTCTTATAAACCTTACTGCGGTATTGGTTAATACTTACACACGGTGATATATAATTAAATACTTATATTTCTGTGGCGATCGTAGGTGCGCTAGTGTACCCCATTGTTATAATTGTTGTTGCTTTTGGCACGTTACGAAAATAATTTTCAAATTATTTCCAACTGCAATTTCAACATTTTTTATTTTCAGCTAATAGTGCTGCTCTCTCTTTGTATTCTCTTTGAATAAAAGAAGCTTTTTTACACATTCACTGAATTTCGATTCATTTGTTTATTCTTTACTTTGAGTTTGATTGACAACGATAAGGCATGTTATCAACACATTTACACATGTTTGTATGAAATGCACAAGTGGTTAGAGAGTAAACTTTTTGAAAAATAAACACACATATTTACACAACATTCTATTAGGCTGTGCTGGGTTTTTCAAGAGCAATAGCCACTAATAAACCAACAGTGCGTATACGTAACCTATACAATTTCACATTTAGAATTAATTCATTTACTTAAATACCATTTAAAAATAAATTTGTATATTTTCAGGTGCTATATCTTTTCCTTGATTCCTTACTTGCCAATATATTTGCTAGTGTAAAATAAAAACTAAATATTTTGACCGTCAGTTGAAACCGTGCCACCCTAGTAAATATGTACTCGTAAATAAGTGTATATATTTGAATAAAAAAAGTAGCGACTCAACAACTGAGTTATTATAGAAATAAATTCAAATTTGTCCAGACATTATATCTATATATATCCGCATCTGCGAATGTGTTGAACTCTTGAAGACATTCTTAAAATTAACTGTAATAAAATCTGTTCATAGTAAATTTTAAATTCCACACAATTCAAACAAGACCTATTAAGAGTACACGCGACTAAAATTGCTATTCTTATTGTGTCTATATATAACTGTAATTTTAATGTGTTTGATCTTCCTGTGCAATTAGCTTGCTACATTGTAGTACTAACTAATAACTATTCCGCAAATAACAAGCAAAGAAGCACAAAACTGATGTGATCATACCTAAATAAAATAAAATAAACTAATATAAAATAAAATAAAATAAAATAAAAATGAAATAACATAAAAAATAAATAGATTAAAAAAAAAATAAAATGAATAAAATATAAAAATAAATAATGGAAAAAATAAGATATAAAAAAATAACTTAAAGAAAAATAAATTAAAAATAAATAAAACGAAACAAAATGAAAATAAATAAATTAAATAAAAAAATAAATAAAATTATATTAAGGAAAATAAAATAAAATGACAATATAAAAAAGTGAAAAAAATAAGACAAATTAATATTAAAATAATATAAATAAAATTAAATTAAAATTAAACAAAATTAAGCCAAAAAATAAAAAATATAAAATTAAATAAAATGAATATAATTAAATGAAAAAATAAATAGAACGAAAAAAAAATAAATAAAATTCTACTAAGGAAAATAAAATAAAATAAAAAATATAAAATTAAAAAAGTGGAAAAATAAGATATAATAAAATTAAAATAACAAAAAAATAAATAAAATGAAACAAACCAAAATAAATTAAAACAAAATAAAATGAAAACAAAATTAATATAAAAAATTAAAAAAAAAAAAAAATAAAGTAAGATAAAATAAAACGAGGTGAAATGCCATAAAATAAATAAAAAAATAAAAATAAACTAAATTATTTTATATTAAAAAAAAAAAACAAAAAAAAAAAGAAAGAAAGCAAAATAGGTTTTAATAAAAAAAAATATATTAAAGAAAATAAAACTAAAAATATAATAAAGTAAGATAAATTGAAAAAACAAAAATTTAAAAAAAAATATTAAAATAAATCAAAGTGAAATGCAGTAAAATATTAAATATTTTTTGCATATGCATAAGTTTGTGAGCTTTTAATTTTATTTCCACTTGTAAGTCCAAAACCCTACTTTGACGTCAAATAGTGATGTTTAATACAAATTATTTAATTAACACAATAAAAATTAGTAATTTCACTAACTACATTTCAGTTCCTGATAGAGTAAGCCTTTCATTGGATGTGTACTTATAATTCAACACACATTAGCAAATACATACATATATATATGTCTATCTTTGCCTTTATTGAACACTGTCTCATTTCCTATAATTGCCACTGCTATAGCCACACAGCTGTTTTATGGTAATGCTGTTATACTTAAAATTCTGCTCAAATGTTCTATTTATTGAACATTTTTAATTGCGTTAGGTTATGGTATGAATTCTTTGGAATGGTTATGGTATGAATTCTTTAGAATTCCTTTGCAGCAGATGGAACGAGGCAAACTATTTTGCGCTATATTTTCGAGATATTTTATTGTTTAAATTTTTGTTACGTCCTTCAGCACTCTGCTTTATATATATATATATATATATATATATATATATATATATATATATATACGTATATATGCATGTACGTTCACATTTAAGTATCACCTAAAATTCTCTGACTATAGCAGAATTGTTTTCATTTTATTGTGGGTGGCTGTGCCGTGTCAGTGATTATTAGTTAGCGCTTAATGTCGTTTACGTGACAAAAGAGCAATAAAAGTGACAAATCAGAAAATGGAAACAACAAAAACCTAATGTATATTTCTTTGTGGTTTTGTATAAACAAGGCAAGTATGTAATAATAGTTGGTCATAAAAATAGGTGCATATGTTTGTAAGTGTAAAAAAATTAAAAAAAAAAAAATGAAAATTACAAACACAATTCATAAGAAAATTGCGCCATAGTTGTAATACAACACAAACATTTGTTTAAATATATATAATATTAAAGCGTTTATAAAACAGTTATCACTATCGTATCGCAAGTGTGGAAATATACTTTGTCTTCAGACCTTCATCAACCGATATAAAAAAATTATAATAAATTATACAAATAAAATTGGAACTGTCAGCCTGTGCTTAGCGATAAGGTATAACATTTCAGTTTATAAGTAGGTTTCGAAGAGCATGAAAAAAGATCATAAATACGTTTTTATGCTCTCTTATATTCACCACGCTTTCATGCTCTCTTATATTCCTACTTCTCTTGCTCTCCCTCTTTTTTTTCAAAATATATCTATATATCTAAATATTTGATCAACATAATGCCAAACCCTTCATTTTCTCATTATCCATTTCATGGATTCGAAAGTACAGTCCAGTATTTTGACACCTGTCAAACCAAACATGTTTTGTTTTACTAAAAGTCAGACTTTTATGAGAATGGATCGCTCAACAGCCACGCAACGCCTTAAAGTTATTAAAATCTAGCTCATAAGTGGAGATTCAAACCTGGCCACGTTCCGCACTTTACGAGGAGGGTGTGGTACACGCAATCGTCCAGCCACTCAAGCAAAAGTAAAATTTGAAAGAAATTTAAGGAGATTGCATCAGTAACAGATATTGTAAGGCCTGTAAATCATCGTTTTGCTCGTTCCACCTCGAATATCGTAAGTGAAAGTCGATGCGAAGACCCGCTTTGTGTCTATTTCTCGACGTTCTCATGATCTGGGACTTTCTTACGGTACATTTTTGCGTATATTGCAACGCTTGCGTACTTCAAAACAAACATTCGTCAAGTTATAGCTGATCACAGCTCAATATGTTCCAAAAAGTGGCCGAAAATTCGTCATAAGCATCAAAGTTTGAAGGGAGATTTCGAGAGGCGGTCATTTGAATGATCGTGACATTAATGAGGCCCTGGGCGAGAAGAGATGGCCCCTGGGCGAGAAGAGATGGCCCACAAGTCGAAGTCACAACAAGAGACTCTAAAAAATTAAGGGAAAGGTTTAGCAGGGTGCGGTCCTATAACCGTCAATCTACAGCTTTTTTTATATTTCGGTGCTCACCCCAGTGGGTGTGTCCCTGAACTCATGTGCCGATGCCTCCGTCTACTGTACGCCACCCACCACTTCAACTAGCTAAATTCACGGCTAACTTCTTCCACAGCTCGATGAAGGATTATTGGATTGAGACTTACTCAAAATAAGGGAGTCACATTCGGCAGCCTGTGCTGATTCGCGAATGTTGTTTTCAAGTCGTTAGCCGGCAGTATCCGGATGAAAAAAACCCAAACCATTAGAACTGACATTTGTCTAAGCCACATAACAGAATCCCTGGACAGGACGAGCAATCGCCAGCACCCATAAATGACGTGCTCGGAATCCAGCTACCACGCTTAGTATACGAAGATTTTGTCTCATGACACTCGAGTAACACTATTGGATGACCTCGGTATAGAATATTAGAGGTGTACATATTATTATATTATATTCATATATAATATATTTTAATTTTTTTTTATGAATTTTCCATTAAATAAAACGATTAATCAACAACTTACTCGCGTAAACGCTCTTGGATACTTAGAGAAGATGCGTCTCAACATGTTGAAGAAAATATTTAGCACAGTAATATTTGTAAATAAAATTTAAATATATTTTTTTATTTGTCTTTTAATTTTTCTTATATTAGTTTGATGCTAATTCATTACTTGGGAACAGGCTTGGAAGTTTCTGGGTTAGACGAAAAATAATTTTGTACAACTTTTGTTTTGTATATTTTTTTAAATTTTTCAAAATTTTTTTCTTTATTTTATTTATTGAAATATTTTTTTTATCAAAACACAAACACGTTCGCGCAATCAGCTAACTTTTACACAACAACGCAACGCTCACTGTGCACAAGTTTAAACAAGCAAAGTGTCAAGCTCATCCATTTCGCCGGCATTCGTTCAAGCCTTCAACAGCGCTCCGTATCGTCTTGTCGCTTTTGGCGAGAAAATTTTCAATAAAATACCGAGTTTTAGGGCATTGCTGTGGAGGGTGGCGCTTGGCGGATGGTTGGTGTTGGGGTATTGCAC